CACTAGTTACGTGGCGGCAATTAGCACCAAGCGAAGGTATTTCTCTATAAACCCACACACACACACACACACACGCATATATGTGGAGCTCTATGGAGCTCTATTAATAGAATCTTATTGTACTTGTGTCAGCGACTATTTTAGCTTTGCATTTCTCACTTCAATTCGGAGTGTTTCTGTGGTGCGAGAGTCTGACTCGATTGCTATCTGATTGTGGGCGACACGAGCTCGTATCCTCAGAGCAAACTGCATTTGCTCTTGCAAGCGACTAAATTTTATTATTATTACTATTTTATTGATTGTGCAAAGGCGCACTTAAATCTAGTTGAGGAAATGCATCTTCTTTTTGCGTGAGATTTTGTTCAAGTAATGCAATCATAAGCGAGCAGGAACCGTGGTTCTGTGTATCCTTTAGTCAAGCACTAGAGCGTCTTTACTTATTGTCTGAGTAATAGATGCAGTCAGAAGACGCAAGTAGCCAGAGCTCAGCGCATCTCCTAGACGAACACTCCCAACTGTATGCAGTCAGAAGTAGCAGAAGTAGCCCAAGGTGACGATAACTAGTTCCGACTAGAACACTCTTGCTTGTTATATATATAGTATATGCAGTCATAAACGAGAAGTAGCCAGAGTTCTGGGTATCACTTAGCCAAGCACTCCCCGTCATAAGGAAGTAGCCAGGATTCAGGGTATCTCTTGGGCAAGTACTCTTATGGCCTATGGAGATGTTTCAACTACAATCAGATGGCATTATACACTATTGATCGAGTGTTGAAATACAAACAACTTAAAGCCATGATACAGCAACTACAAGTACAGCAAAAGTATGTTAGAGTTGTTAAATACTAACATAATTACGTAGAGGTTGTTGGTCAAGGTTCGATTGACTAAAAACATGACTGCCCATTGTTTACTTCTCCTGTACTGAATTCATGATTATAATTAATAGCTGGATAAGTGTCTATATGCGATAATTATCACTGAGCTTGCAGCCTAATGAGCCCCAGCTCCAGACCTAGAGCCAGTTCAAATGCTCAGAGGTGAATGCTACCTGTGTAAAGGTAGCTCACATGTCGCTTTCCCTGCGTCCAGCATCGCAATTCGTCATCAAAATCTCGCTTTGAACATTAAATCTTAATTAAATGCATATTGCTGACATGCGACTGCATAAATATGCATCGTTAAATTTGCAGGAATTTCAATAAACCTTTTCTCCGGCAATCCCACATGAGAATGGTTATGGCTATGAAAAGGGGTAGCTTGACTGGCTGCAAATGCTTGTAACAGACTGAAGTGCACATCTGACTTAGTGTATATAATCAGCAGGAATAATTCATTATGATATATATATATATATTACGCTTTCTGATTGGGACACAGAGTCTAGTCCTGTAATCGCTAAATATCTGCAATTTTAACTATACATTCGTGTCCCAGTTTATTACATCGCATCTTCTTGTATATTTAGAAAACTTCTCGTAATTAATGCATAAAAGAACCCATTTCTGATGCCCTATTTCATTAAACCCAAAAAAATGATTTTAAATTGCAAATCCTTGGGCCACATTTGAATGTCGTATTCATGCCCTGAAAAGTCATTAAAAACTTACAGCTAGAACTCAAGTTATTCCATAACTTGTTTACCATAGCGAACTAGGGGACTGTGCGAAGAACAAGAGCAGACGCTGCATAAGCAGTAAGCAGCAGTCAGTGTGTGTGTGTGTGTGTGTGAGAATATGAATGTGACTGTGACTGTGTGTGTGTACATGGATAAGGCAGCTATGGCTGCACTTAAAGTATGTGCTAGTCGGGCACTCCTGCCTGCTTTCTGCATGCGCTAACAATATTTATGCTGTGATACAAATGCTAAAAGTATTTGCCTCTGGATTAAACAACTTTTGCAGCCATTTGTGGCATTGAAACCAATATCATTGAAAGCAAAAATAAATTCAGCAACATAAAAGAAGAACTTGTTTGCACACATACAATATATATTATATGCATAAAATTAATATACATGTTTGTTTACTGTATGAAATCTATTTTATTACATTTTCATATTTATTAATTTCGCAATATGAAATTTTATATTGTTTACCAATTGCGCGAGAGACGACAAACAAAAAAATAATAAATAAAAAAAAAAACGAGACGCCTTTTGGCATTCGAATTGCCTTTGTCAGCCCGTTTGCCCTTGGCACAAAAACCGAATATTAATTATGTATTATATTATATTAATTACTGATTAATTATGCCACTTTTTGTTAAAGGTATCAACAAAGTATATGCAAAGAATAAACAAAAATGAATTTGTCAAACGAAAGTTAAAAAGTCAATAAAACAAAATGCAAATAATTCTTTGAAAGCAAGCTAAAAACAAATAAACGAAAACAATAAAAAAAACAACAACCTTATTTTATAGTATATAACAAATAAATGTATGTGTGTGTGTATGTGCGTATGTATCCCAGTTCATCTAGTGGCAGGAGCGCGAGGCTTTGGGTTCATTGAGTTAGATTTCGTGCCTTTATCAATATTCAAATCAATTCAAATACATTCAGAGCTGCACAGACATTTATATTTATTTAGTTAGTTCGTCGAGTGCATTCATTTGCAAGCCAGCAGGTCAGACCGAGTCTGGCTGCGTGGGTGGGGCGCGCACAAGTTCAAGGCATTTCAAGTGCGCCCAAAAAAACAAAAAAATGAAATCAAAAAAAAATATAGCGTAAGAAATTTCTTAGTGGCTAAGAAGTCAGCGCCGTGCCGCCTCTTATCTTATCAAAATATCAGTTGAAAAAAATAAATGAAGCGAGCGCCAAATTCTATTTATACAGCACAATTTATGCGGAGAGCAAGACCCGAGAGAGAGGAAGAGAGAGCAGAGAGAGAGAGAGAGAGCGCCACACTTGGCAGGAGTAATCCTGCCCAAGTTGTTGTTGTTGTTGTTGTCTTTGTTATGGGCTGCCAAGCAAAGCTGCACATGATCACAATTCCGCTCGTTGTCTTTGAATCTTTGTGCCTATCTATTCTATCTATCTATCTGTCTCACCTGCCTGGCCTTATCAGGGCAACCGATAAGCTGCCTGAGCTTGCATTTTGTTGTTGCTGTCAGCTGTTTTGTGCAGCCAACAACAACAGCAGCAACAACGCCCATCAGCATCGACATCGACGTTCCATTGTCGCCGTCGTCGTCGTCGTTGTCAGCGTCGTCAGCAGCGTCGTCGTCGTCGTCGTCGACGTCGTCGTCGTCGTCGTCGTCTGCGACGCTTTGTCAGTTCGGCATAGAAAAAAATTCAAATCAGTTCCCGTCGCGTCAACGGCAACGTCGAGAGTTTTGAACGTCGAGCGCCCGTTGAACCTTTTTTGCTGCTGCTGCTTCTTATTCCGCTGCTTAGTGTTGTTCTTGTTGTTGTTGTAGCGCGCGCGTGCGTTTGTGTGTGTGTGCGTGCTTTATTGACACAGCTTAAATTAACAATTAATCAAATCGAAACCAAATCAAATACACACGAAATTTTGCGCAGTGTATTTCGATACAATTCCTATTCCAACTTTCAATTTACAATGCAAAAACACTGAGGGCAGTTGTTGCTGTTTGTGGTTTGGCAAATTCAACTGAATACGAAAAAAAACCAAAAATCCAAAAAATGCTGGCCTCATATTTATGGCATTTTCTGGGTATGTACTCCCGTATTAAAGGAACAACAAAAGAGTTTGTGTTTCTATTGCTGTTGTTGTTGTTGTTGTCGCTGCTGTTGCACAGCAGCCGCCCACAGGCGCCACCCGCATCGGCACTGGCATTCGTCAAACGCGCTTTAATTTTTAACAACGTTTTTGGCATATGAAAAATTAGAAATCGAACAAAAGCTAAGCGAACAAGTCTAGACGCAACGGCAACAAAGTTTGCAAATTCAAATCAAAAAGTAGCAGAAGAAAACTTAAATTAAGTAAGACGAAAGCAACATGATAAAATGTGTCTTAAATGAGTGAAAAATATATATCTATATGTATGTGGATATATAAAGATATATATTCATATTTTAGTGCGGGTGCTGCGTCTGCCTGTCCGTCTGTCGGTCTGTCTGTGTGTAATTATTCGCGGTCAAAGTTTTAATGTAAATATTATTATTTGCTAAAGTTGCTATTTTTAGCTGAGCTTATTAGCAGCCCCCAATGAAGCGCGCTTCGAAAACTTGAATAAACTTTTTTATGATTCAGTTAGCAACTTCCCGACGAATTTTTCAACGTGTGCTCGAGAGACTGAGTGTGTGTGTGTGTGTGTGTGTGTGTGTGTGTGTGTGTGTGCGTGAGAGAGGCTATCTCTATCTGCAAAGCTGTCTCTGCGTCTCGCTGTGTGTGCGTGTGCATATTCTGTTGACTGCTTCAACGAGTCGTATACGTAATTTGATTAAGTTCGTCTAGAGCAACGTTGTTGCATTCGCAGTATCAGAATCAAAATCAAAATGAAAATCCGCCCTTGTCGCGTGATTCGCTGAGCAATTTTCTTTTGGTATTTGTTTTTGTTTTTTTTTTTGTTTTTTTTTTTTTGTTTTTTTTTTTTATCTATGTGCCAATTGGCAACAAGTCTTTGAAGTATGCTTTGCACTTTGCTGCGTTCACATGGCGTATGCGCAATGTCAGAACACTTGTTGCGTATGCTGCTGTTGGCGTCGCATCAGGACAGAGATTAAGCTGACAAACAGACAGACAGACAGACGAAGCGACAATTGGTTAAACAGTGACTGAACACTGACCTAGTTGACAACAAATGGCAAATGGCAAATGTCAAAGGCACGTCCTCGAACGCGTCCTTGTTTTCTCATCTCGCATAACACTGCATACTTTGTGGCGCCACACACACAAGCACACACAGAGTGAAGATGAAGGCTTACATATAGATGACATTTTAGCCAAGCCAAGAGCATTCCGCTAATTAATCTGTATTCATTTCTTCTCTGATTCCATTTTCATTTCCATTTCTTTTCTTCTCTTTTTTTTGGCAGTCGCGTCGCCAGTCGGTCAGCTTTACAGCAATGCCGCCGGGCGTTCTAGTCAACGATAGCCGGGCCAATTCCACCGATGACATACAAATCGCCCTGGCGCCTCACATTCAAACCTATCTAAGTCAAACGGGACGCCGGCATTCCTGCTGCAGCGTCATGCTGCCGGTGGCCTTCGAGCGGGCCGCCGCCAAATCGTGGCTGGATCCCAAATTCGATTCGCCCGTCCTCGAGGAGCAGTTCCAGGCCAGCGTCTTTCCGCACATACGCATGCGATACAGGTGAGTGGAGATGCGTAGCTATAGTTCCCATACTCGCTCAACGACTGTATAGAGTATATCAAATTTCAAATATATAAACACATGAATATGGGTATATTTGGTATACGATTCCTAAATGTACTGAAATAGACCTGAAAACTATAAAGAAATTAGAGATTAGAAATTAGTTCAACGGGTAATTAGGACAGTCAGTCACACCCGACTGAACCATCTCATTAACTTGCTCTAATTGAATTCGAATTTGCCCTGATTGTTGCTAACAATATATTGAAAGCAATTTAAAAGTATATAAGTTTCAATTCTATGCTGTGCTTGACTAGAAGATGCCCTGTAAGTGCTGACCTGCTAGGAATTATTTTATTGCTTTTATAGGCAGGGTATCTGCTAGTTGGGAGGCCTTGAAATTGATAAAAACTAAAAGTTCTGTGATAAATGTGTTTGATATGCCGATAAGATTATATTATATTATAATATAATAACATATCTACATAATACCGAATGCCGATAACATAGTTATCGATAAATCTTGAAAGACAATGCCAGCCAAATAAAAATGAAAGCCATCTCAGCTATAGTTACCATTACCCAGAAGGCCCCATCAAGAGCTGAAACTAAGCTTAGCAAAACGGGAATACCCCAAACGCTTTGCTTCACTCTGCATAAGTTGAACTCTCGCACGTGAACGCACTCAAGGCGACGCCCAAAAAGGGCAGGCAGCAGAGCCGCGGGCAGTGCGAGGGCAGGGTGAGAAGTTGTGTAGGGCGGCAAATTAGCTGAAAACTGCGCAGGATATGAAAATGGTGGCCACAAATGGTTGCTTGGGGTACGCCTTGGCCTGGAACTGACTGGCTGGCTGGGCATGACTTGCATAGCAGGTCAATGCCATGTGCAAACGAATCGATTGTAGCAGGCGCACAGCTCTGACAGATGTTCGACTCGGAGCCGTCGCCAGTGTCGTTTGCACGATTAAGAAAAATCGAAACGAAATAAATTCTCTGTTTGTCGTTTGAGCATGTCGCTGATCCTTCTAGCCACATTCACGGCCATTGTGATACTGCGCATCTGCAGCGAGGGCGCCAGCAAACTGGATCGCCTGCTCCTTGAGAACCTTTGGCTCTTTCTGTTCTTCCGCCTGCTCAACCACCTGCACTTCGTCGCCTGGCTGCGGCGCTACCTGTGGCGCTGTCTCAGCAAAAAGCGCCAGCGGCGCTTCGCCCTAGTCGTGCTCAGCGTGCTGCTGGCGCTCGTCTTTGGTGGCAGCAGCCAGAGCAGCTATGCCCCAGCCGCCTCAACGGCCTGGCTAAGCACAGAGCAGCAGCTGCGTCGCATCGAGTGCCAGAACCAGGAAGAGACCGTCATTGTGCAAAGGCAAACCACTGCGGCCACAACGAACATGCCACGCCTCGAGTTCCCTTGGAGCAACTGATCAGGCGTGCTACAACTCGAATAGAACGCCGTATTATCGTAATATCAATGTTCATAATTTATTGACTATGTGCTAATTACACTAGTTCAGCGTGTTTATTACCAATTGTTTACTAATTGCATGCCTCAAGGCCGACAAGGGCATCCAAATTAGTTCCTTAAATAATGTCAGCTGCGACACATATAGAGTGATATATAGCAAAGAACTAGAATATATATATATATATATATCTGTCAGTCTATACAATATTATCTCTCTCTCTCTCACTATATACAATTTGTAGTCATAAAGTAGCTAGCGATAAAGTTGAAACATTTAAATATTCTTAACATTTAACAAACGAATTAACGGGAATTATAACATGCTTTAAAAGCATCTTCTTTAGTATATACTTTTAGTTTATATACAAAGCGTTAATCCCTCTGAGTAGCAACAAAGTTTGCTGAACACGCTTAAAAAGTCTTTAGAAACTCTGATAGTTAAACGTCTTAGATCGAAACTTTGCTGATGGCCAGTTAAAATGAACTGACAGCCAGTTAACACTTTATCCAGGCAATCGATTGCTGCTGATGGGCAGATAAGCACTAAGCCTTTAGGGTATATGGGCTGCAGTTAGACCTGCTGAGGTGAATAGAAACTGCCTGAATAGCTTTAAAGAATCGGTAAATATCGTGTCAAAACTGAAACTGCTAAGCAAGCCTAGCTAGCAGGCCGCAGCATACGTAGTCAGGGTATTTCGTAGTTGAGCACTTTGCGTAATTAAAAACTTTGCCGCTGTCAGCGTTTTCCGCTGCTGCAGTTTGTGGCCATCAAATTAACGAGCTTTGTAATTACAACACTCTTTGGCTGGCCTTAGCCAGGTGACAAGTTTGTTACCTGGTGACAGTGCTTCTCTCAGTTAACACTCTCCAATCACTCTTAACGCCAGCTTCAGTTATTGTGTTTATTACAAACCCAAACAAAATGAAAAAAGCCCAAGGCAAGCTAGAGAGAAAATACAAGAAGTTTGAGTGCTGAAGAAGTTTTAAAAAGTTCTACGAATCAGTTGTGCGTGTGTTCCATTCCATTTCATTCCAGCTGACTAGCCACCTGCATTTTGCATAGTAAAATTTGCATCTCAAATAATTGAGATTGAGATTGAGAAACGAGTTCGGATTGGTTCGGATCACAAAACAAGATCAAAGAAGTAGCAATTCAGTAGAACATATTGTAGCTGACAAGTATTATTCAGTCGGTTATGCCTGCGAAAGGCGCATTTTTGTTGAGACTCAAGACTCACTTCAGTGTAGGAGCCTTGAATAATCCTGGGTTAGAATTTTCCCACGTAACTCTAGCTAGCTTTACACTAAGCTCTAAGATGAATGCTTTCCCGGACTTGCTATATATTCTTCAAGTTCCTGCTAACTCTCTCTCTCTCTCTCTTTCTCTCCCTCCCTCCCTCTCTCTCTGTCTTGCAGATTCACATTGTCGTACATTTTACTTTGCTCTGTCGTTTGGTGTTTGTACTTCGTGATCGATGGTGGCTCGGAGGACTTTTGGCGACCCATCTCCACCTCGTTCTCGATGATGTCGCTGGTCACGATAATGGCCATGTGCTTTACACACTGGACCCTTTACAAGGAGCACCGAATCCTGACATCGGCAGTCACTGCGCTGATCCTGTGCAGCGCCTCGCTGGCATTTCTCACGTACACGGGCAGGGCGTTCAGTCCGCTGGGCCACTTTGCCATTTGCTTGGAGATCGTGCTGCTCATCTATACGGCACTGCCCATGCCACTGTGGCTGGGCGCCAGCATTGCCATCTGCTATTCGATAGCCTTTGAGCTGGTCTCCCACGTGGTCATTGTGGTGAGTGCCGTCCATGGCGCCACCGTTGGTGCAACGCCAACGGAGGCGGCCAGCAGCAGCGATCCCAGCCACAAAATACTCATGCTCAGAATCATGGCGCATCTGAGTGTCCATCTAGTCGGCGTGCATGTGCTGATCATGAATCTGGTGCGCATGCGCGGCACCTTCATGAAGGTGGGGCAGAACTTGCTGGTGCGACGCCAGCTGGAGATGGAAAAACAGCTCAAGGAGAAGATGATTCACTCGGTGATGCCGCCCAAGGTGGCCGACATGCTGCTCAACGAGGGCGGCAGCGGCGGTCTCGACCCAAATCAGCCGCCCGAATCGCATTATATGCGGCCGCGGGCATCGCACGACGTGAAGTCGCTGTTCCGGCCCTTTCACATGCACAGCATGGAGAACGTCAGCATTCTGTTTGCCGACATTGTTGGCTTCACACGCATGTCCTCCACCAAGACGGCCGAGCAGCTTGTCGAGATACTGAACGATCTCTTCGAGCGCTTCGACGATCTGTGCACGCTCAGCGGCTGTGAGAAGATCTCGACGCTGGGCGACTGCTACTATTGCGTCTCCGGCTGCCCGGAGCCTCGCGCCGATCACGCCATCTGCTGCGTCGAAATGGGCCTCGGCATGATCGATGCGATGCGCTGCTTCGATGCCCAGCGCCACGAAGGCGTCAAGATGCGCGTCGGCGTTCACACTGGCACCGTGCTCTGCGGCATTGTCGGCACGCGACGCGTCAAGTTCGACGTGTGGAGCAACGATGTTAGCCTGGCCAACAAGTGAGTAATAACCATATGAATCAGCTCATCCACCAATGCCAGTGGAAAGAGCTTTACTCTCTGCATCAGCTTGAAACTCATTCCTCTTTCATTGACCTTTCGCCAGAATGGAGTCCTCGGGCAAGCCGGAACAGGTGCACATCTCGCAGGAGACATCGAGCTTCTTGGGCGACGCCTACTACCTGGAAGAGGGCGAGGAGGTGTTCGGTACGTAGCCCACATCAGATTCCATTCAATTCCTTGCATTGCTTATCTTTCTGTCTCTGCTCAAATGTCAGGTCATCGCACCTATTTCGTGGTGGGCCGTCGCCGTGATGTGTCGCGTGCCAATAGCCTGAGCCCGAGCATGGCGGCAACAGCTGCGGGCAGCAGCTCGCTGTTGATGCCTGGGTCGCAGGGCGCGCTCGCATCGCTGTCGCAGAGCGCCACAAATATATCGGCGGTGCAGCCACATGTGCCGCCGGCCTCGCCAGTGGGTCAGCTATCCAATTCGCTGAAGTCGTCGCCCGTGTTGTCCATGCGGCCACGCCTCACCTCGCTGAGCATGAAGCTGCGCAAGAAGTCGCAGTCGCAGGGGCATGCCCATAGCCGCGAACGGGATCTGGAGCGGGGCATTATACATCCAGCTGCCGCCGGCATACCGCCGGTGATAGTGGTGCGCGAGAGGCCGAAAATTATTATCACAACCAAGTCGCTGCCGGGCAGCCTGGACTCCGATGAGCAGCCGCCATCGGAGGAGCAGCAGCCGCAGCAGGCGACGACCAACCAGCCGGACACGCGCTCCAAGCTGAAGCTCAAGGTATGGAAAATGACGCGGCTACTGAAGCTGACCAGTCGCAAGGATAAGGATAAGGACAAAGAGAAAGGCAAGGAGAAAGGCAATGGCACAGACAAGGAGCCAACACGTCCGCATTCCAATTCCTTGCCAGCTCCTGGCGACGAGACGGTGGCCTTCATCGAGCCAGCGGGCGCAGCGAATGGCCAAAATCAGCTGAGCAACGGCTGCGGCTATCAACAGCTGCCGGTGCTCGTGGAGACGGCCTGCAGCACACGACTCAATAGCAATCAAATGCTGGACATACCGATGGCTCGGCCAGTGCTGCATCATGCTGCCACCTCGACGGCTCTCTCCAGCAGTGTGATGCGCTCGCCGGATGGCACTGCGATGGCAGCCAGCGGCGGCAGCTGCTGCTCACCGGGTCAGTATTCGATGTACGACGACATCATCGATGTGCGCTCCTACATAAGCCAATCGCGCAGCGATATCTCGCCATTTGGCCGCACCGGCAGCTATCGTTCCCAGTGCGGCCGTCAGTCAGCTGGGCAATCCGCGGGGCAAACGTTGGAGCAATCGCCGTTGCCCCGGCCACGCGCCTCCACCTTGACAGCGGGCGGGCGAGCCTTAGCCACGGAGCCCAGCACCAGTGCCAATGCCAATGCCAATGCCAATGGCAATGCTAATACCAATGCTAATCCAAATGCTAATCCAAATGCTAGCTCCAGCGGCTGCTGCCTGCCAGCGCCTGGACCCACCGCCTATTCGCATTCGCGCAACTCAAGCATTTGGCCAGATGGACTGAGCATTTGTCCGTCGGCCACATCACGCAAGGACTCGGGCATCAAGAGCAACTCGCGGCGCAGCTCCATTCAGCAGCAGATCTATGCGCTCAACCAGTCGGCCATTAGTCAGCATCGTGTCTCTGGCTACTTCACCAGCTCGACGTCGAGCATCTCGAATTTGGGCGAAGGTGGCGCATTGCCGTTCCCGTTGCCACCGCCGCCGCCGGCGGCGGCTCTAGCGGCACAGCAGTCCGCCCAGCTGATCGATCCGCTGGCCGCTTGCCTGCAGCAGCTGCGCAAGCAATCCGATTTGCAACTCATCCGCTGCGTGCGGGACAATGCGCGCTCGCAGCGCAGCTACTTGGTGAAGGCGCCGCTGCGTCGCATCAGCTTGTACTTTAAGTCGCGCCAGTTGGAGCGCGATTTCCGATCGAAGGCGCATCGCTTTGGCACCGAGAACGAAACAGAGGGGCCGCCCACGCTGGCCACGCCCCGCTACAACACATACATCGACATCTTCGTGGGCATCGCCGTCTATCTGTGCATATCCATCTCGCTCTTCCTGATGACCCAGAACACGGTGACGCCCAGCTTCCGGCTGTGGGTCACGCTCTTCTCCTGCTTCACGGCGATCCAGGTGTTTGCGCTGTTCTTGTTCACGCGCCAAATGTGCCGACGACACGGCACTCGCATGCGCTCCAAGTCCAGCGCCAGCGAGGCGAACAGCGAGGCCGCTGCACCGCAGCCGCAGGTTGAACAATTTGAGTCGTGTGCGGATCGCATCTTTGAGGCCATATCCAGCTGGTATCCTTGGCACATCTGCTTGGCCATCCTCATGGCCATGCCCGTCGTCCTGATCATCGCCAACTTCCTGCTGCTCGATCTCACACAGCTGGAGGCATTCGAGTATCATTATGGCTTCCTGATCTTCGTCTGCATTGTGCACTTCTGCAATTTCACCCAGCTCAATTGCTGGATGCGCAACGTGCTGGCATTTCTGGCCGCGCTCTGCTTCATCGGCATCGCTGTCTCCCAACTGACCGTCTACAACAACAGGTCTGAGAATGAATCGGATCCCGAGCTGGAGTCGGAGCTGAATAGCAGTGCGGCCGCATCGTTTATCTTCGAGGAGATCAAATGGTTCCACGACTATCACGTCGAGATCTACTTGGATTTGCTTTTGATATTGATATTGGTCTGGTTTCTCAATCGCGAATTCGAGGTCGGCTATCGGCTGACCTTCTACGGCAATGCGGTGGCCAACCAGGACAAGGTGCGTGTCCAGAACATGAAGAACCAGGCGGACATGCTGCTTCACAACATAATACCCAAGCACGTGGCGGAGCATCTGAAGAACACGGCCAAGTACTCGGAGAACCATCACAACATCGCCATCATCTTTGCCTCCATCGTCAACTTCAATGAGATGTACGACGAGAGCTATCTGGGCGGCAAGGAGTTCCTGCGCGTGCTCAACGAGCTGATTGGCGACTTCGATGAGCTGCTTTCGCATCCGAAATTTCGTGCCGTGGAGAAGATTAAGACGATTGGCTCCACATTTATGGCGGCCAGCGGCTTGGATCCATCGCATCGTGGCACCGGCGACGAGCACATCCATACCCTAATGGAGTTCGCCATCGAGATGCAGCGCGTGGTCAATGAGTTCAACAAGGATCTGCTGGAGTTCAATCTGATCCTGCGCATTGGCATGAATATTGGCGATGTGACCGCCGGTGTCATTGGCACCAGCAAGTTGTACTATGACATTTGGGGCGATGCGGTCAATGTGGCGTCTCGCATGGACTCGACCGGTCTGCCCAATCGCATACAAGTGGGCAAGGACTGTCTACCGTTTCTGACCGCCGGCTACGAGTTTGAGCCGCGTGGCAGCGTTTACGTCAAGGGCAAGGATCACATGGAGGTGTTTCTTTATACCAATCGCCGGCCTCACCTGAGCGAGCAGCCTCCAAACGTGCAGCTGAACGAGCTCAATGAGCCCGACGAGTTGGCAACCGAAGCCAATGAGAAGCAGCAGCTGCAAACTAACGATGTTCAGATTGTTATAAATGACGAGCTGCAAGAGCCGACTGATGCGGAGAAACAGGAGTTGCCTGACAAGGAGCAAGCGGAGGAGGAGGAGGAGGATGACGACGACGACGATGGCGACATGCATTCGAGCGAAACAACAACGCTGTTCAAGTCACAGGAATCATTGCATGCCACGCATCCGAACGGAGGTGGCAGCCACTTCAATCCAGCTAACACAACCGAAACTTGAGCAAAGAAAACTCATCTGAATTCAACTCAAATCAAACTCAAACTCAGACTCAGACTCAGACTCAGACTCAACTCTATGTAAATGCACTCGACTTTTGATCAACTCGGCCCAACTCAACTGCTGGCTTGAAGCTTTTTGAGAAATGGTTTCAAAATTGCATTTATTATGTGTTGCAGTTGCCACAGCTGGAAATGGAAATGGAAATGGAAATGGAACGTCTGGGAAGGCTGCGAGTGAGGTGGGAAGGGGGCGTGGGGGAGCGGATCAAACCGCACAATTTGTGATATGTAACTAATGTTGAATATGTACGATAAAACTGTTGGGCACTTGGGCATGGGTGTTACGCGATATTGTTATGTGAAGAAGAGGAAGAATAAGAAGCAGAAGCAGAATGCTTCTGGCCTTGTTGAAGCTATGGATACGCAGATCTGAAGCTAAAACTAACTCGTCGTATATGCCACAACAGGGGGCGTGGCAATGTGTACGTGTTTCACTTGTATTAGCCACTCATATATCGAAACGTTGACTAACAACAGACAGAGATGTACACCGACAGACATATTATATATGTGTGCCAGTGTATATGTATGTATGTTTGTATGCATATGTGTATGTATGTAAGTGGTGTAGCAAATTGTTTGTTTGTATTTTTTTTTTTTGGTAACCTAAGTATGTATTTTAGTGTTAGCTTAATTTATAACTGTATAAACGTAATGCCAATAAGTAAGCAAATTACACACACGCACACTCACACTCAGACCCACACCCACTCCCACACCCACACCTCCCACACACACACATACACACATAACTTTAAACTAATATAATTTTGTGGCTTTAGATGTATTTGATGTGTTTCCCTAGACTTAAGCAATAGGAAATATGCATATGTTTGTTAATGTGCATGCGCATGTGTGTGTGTGCGTGTGTGTATCTGCGTGTGCGCGCATAGTTTTATTATTAATATATATATTTTTTTTTATATATGTAATAATTTTATTGCAGTAATATTTAAACTAAGAAAGTGCATAGAACTAACCGATAAAGCAGACTAGCTAATAAATGTTATAAACAGTTGAAACTTCTATTTATATATATATACATATATATATATATATATATATATATATATATTTATTTATTCTTTCTTGTTATATTTGTTTTCGTTCTTATTGAAGCGAGCTGGTAACAACAAATTGATGTTTGAATATATTGCATGTGTTGGTGTTGTTCATGTTATTGTAGATGTTGTTCTGTTTCGGTGTATAGTTAACTTTTAGTAGGGCAAGCTCAGCAGCAAGCATATATATACATACAACATACGAAGTACAAAAACTAAGTCTACATAATTAAATATTCTATTTAAAAAGGCAGCAGCACAAAAGTATGCTACGAACATTTGAAAAATTAAAACTGCTTGCCAACTGCTTGTCAATTCCTTGTCAACTGCTTGCTGAAAACGGCTAAACGCATGCACACTAACACATCCATAAAACGCCAAGCACTTACCGTTACTCTCTCACACACACCCACATACATGAACTATTATTGCATTGGTTTTATTCTTGTGCAATGGAAGCGAAACCAAGCCAAAGTGAAACTGAAACAACTCCTCGATTTTGTCTACTTTTCTCTAAACTAAGATATTTACAAAAAGAAAACCAAAAAAAAATAACAATAAAAATATAGAAAATTATAAAAGAAACAAATCAAGAAGCAGACAAAACGCTGTAACCCATGGACCCTCTTGTATTTTTATATGTATTGTGTATCAAGTGAAACAAAAGTATTTTCTACTAATTTATTAACTACTATATACTGACTAAACTTAATATACACACAGACACACATGCTTGCCATTACTTGTTTACATAACAATCACACACACAAAGACACACACCTACTTATGCATGTATTAACCTAGTTAACGAGTTTAACTTCGTTTTTTGTCTTCGTTTTGAAACATCTGAGTGTATATAATATAAACTGATATTTTCTACTTAAGATACACAACCAACGAAATTTCTTTAAACAAATAGATATTTGGGGCCGACCGCAGAACGAAATAAACGTTGAATCGTTGAGTTTATCTAATTGTTTAAGTGTTGATCCATCTATCGATGTCGCCCCCAGCAAATCTGTTATACAGCATATATTATTGTACTAAAAGTATTTATAGAATCGTTGTAACAATGAATGTATAAAATGCGTTTCGAAAACTCTTAATAAACCGCTGCAGTGTCTATGTATGAGTGTGTACTCTAAATCAAACATCTCCATTGACTTTTTCTTTCACCTTCACTCAAGTCTCTCAAGGGACAAAGCCAAAAGTAAGTATGTAAGTATATATTTTATGTGGCACTTGATGTAACGAAATAAAGTCTGTTTTAGCCGAGTTTTGGTCAGATAAGGTCTAACCATGGCACAGCGGCGCCTTCTATAAAATTGTCCTCGCTTAATTCGAATTTCTATATGACAAATTGGGATTGATGTGAAATTGGCAGCAATGTGTACCTCTATATACTAAAACATTTTCTATAGACTTGCAAAAGTTCAAAAATCTTTTCAAAATCAAATGTAAATTATATAAAAATAAATATATATACACATAAGTAAACTTTAACTTATTCTACCTCATCCCACATATAGAAATGACTAGAATACCATTGAGATCTCAAGTTATTAGCTCCCAAATAGTATCTATAGATCAATTAACGTTCCAGGCTCTTCCGCAGCATTGTCAAAGAATCAGTTCGCAGCATCATTAAAAACAATGAATAATAATGGACATTTCTCATAGATACATACAATATATGTTTATTGAATTCATCAGTTTGCACAACGTAACAAGAGTTTTCATTGTTGTTGTTGTTGTGTTTGTTGTATTGATTTATGTTTTAATGGAGTAGGCTTAAGATTATGGGCAGTCATGAATTGCAATATGAACTAGCAAACGCAGCTGCAGACAACTAACTTAGTTAGCACAAATCATTTTCTATATAAGTATGTATGTATTTATTTCACTTTTAACTATGCAGCTCACTCATTGTCTCTTTCGCACACACACGCACACACACACATTCACACACAGACAAATGCCCAGGCGATTTATAATCGCTGCTATAACTATAAGCAACATGCCCAGACTTGGTTAATACTCTTTCATTCTTTCGTTCTTTATCTTTTGTGGCTTTAGTTGACAAGGAGACGCGAAAATACTTTGTTTTAGATTTTAGGCTAAGGCGCAAATGAAAAGATACTTGTGTTTACAAAAATATCCATACAATCTATGCACATATATATTTAGTAAGAAAAAAGATAATAATATAGAATGGAAAACAAAAGAAACAAGGGCTTAATGATAATAAAGTAAACTATTACAAAACTATGACATTGCTTAAATTATTTAGAGCCGAACAGACAAATTATACAAAATTTGGCAATAGTTTATAACATAGCAGTTAAAGGTGTTTGGTGTGTGTGAAAAGTACGCTCTTACTTTTGTGCATATACGAATGTAGTATGTATGAAACAAGGAGGGGCATTTACGAATAGTAAGAACTGAATGAACAGATAGTGCACACCCCATTGCAAACTATAGCCGGACACAATGTTTAGCTAGCAATGTGCACTACAATTATTTGTTTTTGTTTTTTTTTACTCTTAAGCTAAGCAAATGCACATGCAAATGCTGCTCTTTATTGATCGTCGTTAGCTCTTGCTATTGTTGTTGCTGTTGTTTTTGTTGTTGTTATTGATATTGTTGTTCTTGTTTTTATTTGCTGATCTTCTGCAGCTTCTGCAATACTTTCAGTCCCTGTTCTTGGTACTCCTGTTTGGACATCCAGAAGCCATCGCGATCTTTCGTCACCTCAGCCAATACAGCGCCACCAATGAAAACCATATCTTTGCGACGCGGCGGATCCTCAATGCGTATTTTGAATTTCTTAATAAATTAGCAAGAGAAATTGATTATGATGATAATGAAATACAATAAAAGATCAATCGACCTACCGCCAATTTTTCCGTATCGTTTTTGAGTACTCGCTCCAAATACAACTGCTTTATTTCACGCTCCAGGCGACTAGGCAGACCCGGATACATGGTTGAGCCACCAGACAGCACTATGTGCTTATAGAGCTCGGGTCGTATATCAATGTCTGCAGCCTGTATCGTGTTGAAGGCCAGCTCCGCAATGCCGGGACCCTCAACGTTTATTAAATGCGGTTGGAATAGCGCCTCAGGCGCTTCAAATCGCTCACCACCCACTTTAATCACACGGCCATCGGGTAACTAAAATCAAATCCAAGCAAATATATAACACATGAGTCCCCACCGTACACGATAAGCAAGCAGATCGTACCGTATAGGACTCCACCAGCACCGTGGTCTCGAGTGCCAAACGTTGCTCCATTTCAATATCGTAGCCAATGTAGCACAGTTTCTCCTTCATAATGCGCACCGTTTCAAAGTCAGCGGAATGATTAAAAGCATAGCCACGTAGTAAAAGTAACTGAAAGATAGACCGTCGACCAATTACAATAAGTTAGTCAGTAATACTTGCAGTCTGTCTATGGAAAGTACCTTAATCAAATAGCGCGTTATATCACGACCGGCAATATCCAGACGCCTCGTTAAATGTGGCAGCGAAAACTCCTCATAGACTGGACATATATGTGTGACGCCATCGCCAGAGTCGATCACCACACCGGAGATCAGTCCCTGGGCGTACAGCGTTAATACTGCCTGTATGGCAATATACGTGGAATCGAAACCGTATTTCTCAAACATCACCTGCGGCAGGGAACAAAAGCAATTAATAAGAACAGTTCATTGACTGTGGATTGACGCACCTCGATCATCTTTTCGCGATTCTTTGTGGGGTTCATGGGGGGTTCAGTCAGCAAGATCTTTGTGTTTGTCGGATCAATGTCCATTTTCTTGGGACCGAACGTATAGTCCCACACATGACACATATCGTCCCAGTTGCGGACAACGCCGTTCTCCATGGGATAGGAGACCTCCAGCAACGAGCGCAGCTTTGAGGCTTCATCGCCAACCATAAGATCCTGTAAAATGGCCATCACAGATTGTTTAATATCAATGCAGCGAGAGCATTTCGTTATTATTATTATAATTAACTTTGCATTTGTTTAGTACATTGTTCGATTAGGGATTACTATGGTTCAATTCACTTATTTATAGGACAGGCACAAAGGACAACGAGTACAAATACTTGGCGGATAACGAATAACGAATAACGAATCACAAGTAACGAGTAACCAATAACGAATAACGAATCAACACAGAAAGCTTTATACGCATTAGAGACATATCTCCATTAGCTTGCGATTATTTATCGTGCAATGCAATTTGGTTAATATATTACATATATATAAAAAATAAAAATATATTTCTATAGAGCTTTCGTCATGCATAAGAACAGAGGGGTAAAATATATATTTATATAAAAATTAACTCGACTACATCTAGCATAGGGTCCAAACATTGCATGTATACAAAATAGGTAAATACAAAACATAACAAATTAAATTAACTGCATTTATTTAAAAAAAAAAAAGAACAACAAATATATTTTTTATGATAAAATGTAAACTTTTATTCGCAATGTTTTCTTCTGCTCCCTTAAGACTGAAAACAAATTTCTTTCACTTGCAATGCAAATACAATATATATATATATATATATATATATATATATATATATATATATATATATATATATATATATATATATATATATATATATATATATATATATATATATATATATATATATATGATATAATAATAATCATTGTATAATTATTTAGCAAGTGCAACAACAATATAAAATTTACTATAAAACTATAGTATTTATGG